CTCAGGTCACTGAGTTGCATATTTTTAGTTGAGATCTCTAATGTCAAATCCTGTAATCCCAGCACTCAGAAGGCTAGCAGGAAAATGAAGGTGAGGCAGGAGGATGAGGCTGAGTCAAAAGGATTGCCACAAGTTTGAGGCCAACCTGCACTACCATAGTGAATTAAAGTTCAGACTAAACTGCAGAGTGAGACTCTATCTGAAAAGACTAAAAAAACAAAACATATGTATACCAGACTGGGGATTTAGCTCAGTGGTTCTGCCATCTACCTTGCAAACATAAGGACTGAGTTCAATTCCCAATACCAAAAATATATATATACGAAGTATTCCTAAACTTAATACAAAGGTTTTTTTTGTTGTTTTTGGTTTTGGTTTTTTGAGACAGGGTCTCACTATGTAGTTCAGACTGCTCTGGAACTCACTACATAGCCCAGGCTGGTCTCGAACTCACAGTGATCCTCCCACCTCAGTTTCCCGAGTGCTGGGATTACAGGTGTGCGCCACCATGCCTGGCTAAAATTTGGTTTTTTCATGGGTTTTTGTTTTGCTGTATGGGTGACTGAACCTCAGCTCAGCGGGGCAGGGGGGGTGCACACAACTATTATCCCAGCAGTCTGCAGGCAGAGGCAAGATAGGAAGTTCAAGGCCAGATTGGGTGACATAGTCTCACATAACAGGCCAGGCATAGTGGTGCACACCTGCAATCCTAGCACTTGGGAGGCTGAGGCAGGAGGATCACTGAAAGTTTGAGGCCCACTTGGACTATATACTGAGTTCACGGCCAGCCTGAATTACAGTGAGACCCTATCTCAAAACAAACAAACAAACAAACAAAAACAGAAAAAAACAAAATTGGTGAACAGGACTTAGCTTGTTAATGTCTGTTTATGTTTGCTTTCCTTGATGTCTGTTTCCTATTACCCACTTGAATAGTTATAGTCCATTATAATATACATGTTCATATTAAATTGATAGACATGTTTCAGCAAAAAAATTCACAAAAAGTCTCCCTCTCTCCCCCCTCCATATATGTGTGTATATGTGTGTGTGTGTGTATGTGTATACGCATATATAAAATATACTTTTTTGGGGGTGGTTTAGAGACAGGGTCTTGCTAAGTTGCTAAATTGCTCAGGCTAGGCCTGAACTTGCCATCCTTCTGACTCAGCCTCCCAGAATACTGAAATTATAGATATGTACCACCATATGAAGCTTCATGCCTATTTTATACAGGTGGAATTAATTTGACCACTTCAGTGACCTTCTCTTGATTTAAGTAGATGAAACTGTATCAGAAAAAGTAAGAAAAACTAAAAAAAAAAAAAATTGTATAATTCTGAACTACATTCCATCTGCACTTCATTACCTAATCAATGTACTTACTAATTGAATTTGGCACTTGTTTCATATACTTACCTGTGTATTGGCCATGATGCCAAGGAATGTCACTAGAATTAGTGACATATCTCTAAGATATTTATATAAATTTGTGAAGCCAGACCTGATAGAGCCAGTAATGATAGAGCCAGTACTTAGCAAGTGAGAAAACCTAGGTTCAATCCCCTGGACCCTGAAAATTAAGCAACAAAAAAGAAAGCAGGTGTGATGGTAATACAGACAGCTAAATACAGGCAGTCAGCCAAGCATGATGGCTCACACCGGTAATCCCAGCAGTCTAGAGGCTGAGGCAGGAGGATCTCTGAGAGTTCCAGCCCAGCCTGGGCTACATAGTAAGTTCAGGGCCAACCTAAACTACAACTTGAGACCTTGTATCAAAAAAAAGAAAAAAAGAAAAAAAGCAACAACAACAACAAAAAACAAAACAAAACAAAAATACTCTTAAATAAATCGGACACACATGTTTAAGTATGCATTGTTTCTCTGGTGTGAGAAACCAAAAGTGGAATAAGGACTGAAATGTATAATGGATGGTGGGAAATGGGAAGAAAGTGTTCAAATGAGACGGGGAACAAAAGGGAGGTGGGAGAAAGGAAGGGAGGGACGAAAAAAAGTGAAAGTAGCA